TCTCCATCAATCTTTCTTTGATTTGTGCTTGCCTGTCCCTGTGTTTTTGCTGTTCTTTATATTACTCAGAAGTTATTAGATTTAGGATACATCCTACAATGATATGGCCTCATTAACCTAACAAAGAAAATCCTATTTCCAAATAGGATTACATCCCCAGGTATAGGGATTAGGATTCTAACGCATATTTAGAAAAAAAAAAGAAAAAACTCACTGCTGTCGAGTTAGTTCTGAATCATAGCAACACCTCCTTGGGTTTCCAAGGAAGTATCTCTATGGAAATAGATTGCCCAGTCTTCCTTCCAAGAAGTGGGAGATGGGTTTGAACCACCAGCCTTCTGGTTAGCAGACAAATGCCTTAGGCACTATGCCACCAGAGCTCCTAGCACCTATTTTAAGGGAACATAATTTAATCCATAACAGCCACCTAGCTGGAGCTTAATTAAATATCAAAAGGCCATTCCAACATGTGTAAAGCTAGCTGCTTCAGTATAATGGGGAACATGGTAAGACCAATGAATTCAATCAGCATGGGCCTATTGCCTTCCTTCATTTTCTATAAAGTCAGATCCTAAATCAGAGGCAATGCTGTGTAGATTACCATGGTGGTGGATAAGGTATTCTATGAAAACTCAGATGGTAGTTTGAGCAGAAGTATTACATATAGGTAAGATAAATCTATTTCCAAAGTGCTTATTCCAGTAAGAAGAAAGATGTTTCTCTCTCCATGATGGAAGTGGTCTAATATAATCAAACTGCTTCCATGTTGCTTTTTTATCACCCCAGTGATTTTGGAGACTTACTATTGGTCTCTTTTACTGGCAAATTGGGTACTCAATAATAACAGTCAGCTCTTATGAATAGAACTCCATGTTGCTGAGCCCAGTATAACCTTCATCCCTGTCACCATGACCACTTTGTTCATGAGTCCACTGGGCAATGACAGGAGAGGCTGGGTAAAGGGTGGTATACACTGAACGAATGTATCATCTATCCACTTGATTGTGAAAATCTTCCTCTGCTAAAGTCACCCTTTGCTGAGCACTCATGATATGCAAATATCTTTATATTTTTGCCTATCTAACCATTTCTCCTTCTGAGAGCAAAATGAAAAGCCAAATGAACTTCTCTAAATTCTTTCCATTGGGAAGATTTCCCTTCACCACTGTCCTTCAATGATGTCCCAGAAAGGGGTTGTAGTGGTAACTGTCCACTTTGGAGGAGTACCTGCATATACACAGAACAACCTGTAAATGAGGACCAAGTTTTCTTATCATTAATCAGCTGAACATAGGAAACTCCCAATGAGACCATAGGTTAAAACTGGGAGAGAGAAGGCAATGTAGCAGGAGTGGGAGCTATGGGAATTTTGGCTACTTCCTCATATGCATTTAGGGTCTACATGTGCTCAGTTTTGAATATACCATTTCAATTCAAAAGTCTACAGTGGTTGCTACTTTTTGTTCACTAGATCCAATTAGCATGATGTCATCATGTAACAGAACAATGTATGGCTTGTGGAAGGGAAAGGCAATCAAAGTCACTGTGGACTAAATTAGGACACAGGGATGGAAAGTTAATACACTTTGAGGTAGGGCAGTGTAGATGTATTGCTGGCTTTGGCAGCTGAAAGTAAACTGCTTCTGGCAGTCTCTACTAACAGGTATCAAGAAAAAGGCATTTACAAGATCATCAATTGCATAAAAGGTACCAAGGAATGTGTTATTTGCTCAAGAAATGAAACCACCTCTCCAATAGTATCAACAACTAGAGGAACCACTTGGTTAAGTTTATGAGTCACTGTCATTCTCCAAGATCTATCTGTATTCTTCACAAATCAAATTGTTGTTGTTGTTATGTGCCTTCAAGTTGGACCTGACTCCTAGCAACCTTCCAAGGTGATATCACTACAGAAGTAAATTGCCCAGCCTTCCTTCCAAGGAGTGGCTGGTGGGTTTGAACTGCCAGCCTTGTGGTTAGCAGTCAAGTGCCTTAGGCACTATGCTTGTTGTTGTTGTTGTTGTTGTTATGTGCCGTCGAGTCGGCCCCGACTCATAGTGACCCCTCCTTGGGTTTCCGAGGCAGTATCACTACGGAAGTAGGATTGCCCAACCTTCCTTCCGAGGAGTGGCTGGTGGGTTTGAACCGCCAGCCGTCTGGTTAGCAGGCAAGTGTCTTTGCCACTATGCTAGCAGAGCTCCAGAGCTTAAATCAATCAAATAGGTGAGTGGAATGTAGATGTGGTGGGAATCACTACTTCTGCATGCTTCAGGTCCTTGATAATGGCACTAATATCTGCAATGCCTATGTTGTTATTGTTGTTAGGTGACGTTGAATTGGATCCAACTCACGGCAACCTAATGTACAATAGAATGAAACACTGCCACATCCTGTGTCATCCTCACAATCCTTGCTGTGCTCGAGTCCATTGTTCCAGCCACTGTGACAAACCGTCTAGTGGAGAGTCTTCCTCTTTTTTGCTGATGTTCTATTTTACATAGCATGATATCCTTCTTTAGAGACTGATCCCTTCTGACAACATGACCAAAGTAGGTGAGATGAAGTCTGGCCATTCTCACCTCTAAGCAGCATTCCAGCTGCACCTCTTCCAGGACAGATTTGTTTGTTCTTCTGGCAGTTTGTGATATTTTCAGTATTCTTCACTAACACCATAATTCAAAGGCATCAACTCTTCTTTGGTCTTTCATATTCATTGTCCAGCTTTCACATGTATATGTTGTTGTTTTGCTGTTATGTGCTGTCGAGTCAGACCCAACTCATAGTGACCCCTCCTTAGGTTTCTGAGGCAGTATCACTATGGAAGTAGATTGCCCAATCTTCTTTCCCAGGAGTGGTTGGTGGGTTTAACTGCCAGCCTTCTGGTTAGCAGTCAAGTGCCTTAGGCACTACGCTACCAGAGCTCCTTCACATGTATATAAGGCTACTGAAAATGCCATGGCTTGTGTTAGGCACACCCTAGTCTTCAAAGTGACATCTTTGCTCTTCAACACTTCAAAGAGATCTCTTGCAGCACATTTTCCCAGTGCAATATGACATCAGATTTCCTGACTGCTGCTTTCATGGGTGTTGTTTGTGAATTCAAGTAAAATTAAATCCTTGACAACTTCAATCTCTTCTCTATTTATCATTATGTTGCTTACTTGTCCAGTTATGAGGACTTTTGTTTTCTGTATATTGAAGTGCAATCCATTCTGAAGGCTGTAGTCTTTGATCTTCATCAGTAAGTGTTTCAAGTCATCTTCACTTTCAGGAAGCAAGGCTGTGTTATCTGCATACCACAGGTTGTTAATGAATCTTCCTCCAATCCTGATGCTGTGTTCTTCTTCATATTATTATCTCAGATTATTTGCTCAGCATTCACATTTCGTGTATGGTGAAATGATACAACACTGATGCATGCCTTTCCTAGTTTTAAATGGCACAGTATCCCCTTGTTCTGTTCAAACCACTGCCTCTTGGTATGAACAAGTTCCTCATGAGCACAATTAAGTGTTCTGGAATTTTCATTCTTTGCAATGCTATCCATAATTTGTTAATATTCACATAGTTCAATGTCTTTTCATAGTCAATAAAACACAAGTAAACATCTTTGTGGTATTCTCTGCTTTAAGACAAGATCCATCTGACATCAGGAATGTCAGATGGATCCACATTCCCTCATTTCACATCCTTTTCTGAGCCCAGCATGAATTTCTGGAAATTCCCTGTTGATGTACTGGTGCAATCATTTTGTAATTATCTTCAGCAAAATTTTACTTGCATGTGATATTAATTATATTGTTTAATAATTTGCACATTCCATTGGATCATCTTTCTCGGAATGGGCACAAATATGGATCTCTTCCAGTCAATTGGCTAGAGCACTGTCTTCCAAATTTGTCATTGAGGAGTGAGCACTTCCAGTGTTGCATCACCATTTTATATCATCATTCATTCCATTCTCTTTAGCTACTCTACATTCAAGAGCAAGTTTCAGAGTCTCTTCTGAAACTTGTGGACAACACATATCACTTAATCATGTTTAGCTTAATCACTAAGCTAAAATGTGATCTTTCAGTCCAGTGATAATAGTTTAAATATTAAACTAACATGTAGTTGACAAAAGTATTTCATAACAGTCCCTGAGTGGTACAAATGATTAACATGTTCAGTTGCTAACCTAAAGCCTGGAAGTTTAAGTCTACCCAGAGATGCTAGTGATCTACTTCTGAGAAATCAGCCATTTACCATCCTATAGAGCATAGTTAACTCTGACACATAGGAGGTCTCAATGAGTCAGAGTCAACTCAATAGCAACAAGTATGGTAACTACTTCATAACACTATTTAGACTAGTGTTTGATTAAACAACAGTGCACCATAACTTAGCCAAGTTAACACACAAATTTTACTATCACAAGGGATTTTACTATAAAAAACTTGTGGCAAATATATTGGAAGAGGTAAAAAGGGAAGCATGGGACAGTGAGACAACATCTTTACTATTTAAGCTAAAATGTGATCTTTCAGTCCAGTGATAATAGTTTAAATATTAAACTAACATGTAGTTGAGAAAATAAAGAGTTCCCTTTAGTAAGTTTTATTCTTTACACATTTATGGAAAACTGTTGTATATTTCAACTACTATATTTCTATTACCACCAATAATAACATTTTTATTTATAAAAACATAAATATTAGGTAAAGTGAATGAAATTAGCACATTTTAATGGAGATATGCTGTATGAAAAAAAATACTGTCTTAGCTGTTAATATGGTTTAAGAACAGCAGTATCAAATTAGTGACAATATGGCATTAGAAGGAGGCACCAAGTCAACAAAAGTTCTCAAAATCATACATTTAATTCTGAACTTTATATAATTTTCTTTATTTGAAAAGTAATTTACTCTGACTTATAGCTTTAAGTGTTTTACAGTAGCTTTATGATAGCAGACATGGTTCATTATAATTTGGAAGATGTTTATAAACTTAAGTTTTACCTGACAGTTCTTGCAGCATAATCCTGTATGACACTGTGCTCCTCGTTTCAGTCTACAAGTTCCAGGATCACAACAACTATCAGGTCCACATTCCTAAGAATGATTGGAAGGTACAAGTGAAAAGAGAAATATAATAATATAAATTATGGTAGGGCTTATTTTTTGAGATTTATGGAAGGAGGTGAACATTGTTAAAGTTTATAGATTTCAGCATCTCTACACATTCAAAATATTAATGTAGGACTTTACTCCAGGTCATAATAAAGTAACTGGCACCACACTTAAGCTCCTATGCAATTAGAAAACTGGGTAAAATATATGAAACAACTTTCTCCAAAACCAGGTAACAAGCAAATCAAGATTTTAATCTCTTAAAGATGAGAAACAAATGAGGAAAGCCCTAAATCACTAGCTTTCTTCCTAGAAAACAGAAAATATTCATGACCTCAATTAAGCAAAAATTTCTTAGGACACAAATCACATGAAAAAATAGATGGTAAAATAGACTTAATAAAAATGTAAACAAGTGCTATTTAAAAAAAGATTTTATTAAAAAACTAAAAAGATAATTGATAGACTGGAAATAAATATTTGTAATACACATATTTGATAAAAGACTGATATCCAGCCTACATAAAGAACTCTTACAAATCCATACTAAAAGGCAAACAACCTAGTTTAAACTCTAGCAAAAGATTTAAACAAATTATTCAAAAATTAAGATATACAAATGAGCAATAATGACATGACAAGCTACTCCACATATTTGGAGTCATCAAGGAAATGCAAATTGAAACTACTACAAAACTGCTAAACCAAAAAACCAAACCAGTAGTCACTGAGTCTATACCAGCCCATGGTCACCCTATGCATGCAGAGTACAATTGCATTCCATAGCATTTTCTAGGCTGTGATCTTCTGGAAACAAGTTGCCAGGCCTGTCTTCAAAGGCACCTCTGTGCAGTTTCGAACCACCAACCTTTTGGTTAGTAGTTGAATGTTTAACCATTTGCACCACCTGGTGATGCACAAAACCACCAAACCAAAACCAAACTCACTGCCTCTGAGTCAGATCCAACTCATAGAAACCCTTCCTTGGATTTCCAAGTTGGTATCACTACAGAAGTAGATTGCCCAACCTTCCTTCCAAGGAGTGGTGGGTTTGAACCACCAGCCTTCTGATTAGCAGTCAAATGCCTTAGGCACTACACAATCAGAGCTCCCACAAAACCACCAGGATAGCTTAAATTAAATTTAAACCAAGAGGGTTTAAAATATATGCCCATGAAAATACAGATCTTCAAACAATTTTATTCATAATAACTCAATACTGATAATCCAAGTGTCCATTGCCAGGAGAATTGATAAACATATTGTGGTATGGTATATCTATGCAATAAAAAGGAAGAAACTATTCTGACATGAAAGAACATGGATGAATCTCAAAAACTCTATATTTAAATAAGGAAGCCAGACAAAAAATAATAATTGCTATATGCCACTCCACTCCTCAGAAGGAAGATGGGGCAATCTACTTCCGTAGTGATACTGCCTCAGAAACCCAAGGAGGGGTCACTATGGGTCAGGTCCAACTCCACGGGGCATAACAACAACAACAACGTATCATTCTATTTATATGATTTTCTAGATCAAACAAAATTGACACAGTAACATCTGATCAGTGCTTGCCTGGAGTTGAGGAAAGGAGGGAATGATACATAGAAGCATGAGTAAACTTTTGAGGATGATGAAAATATCTGTATCTTAATTTTACATGGTTATATATATATGTGTCAAAACTCATTAACCTGTGCACCTTAAAATTGGGTGCATTTTATTTTATGTGGATTATACTCCAATAAAATTGATCTTTAAATAATGAAGAGTAAAGAGGATGGACTTGTTCTACTAAGTAGGAAACTATAATACAAAAGCATAATAATTAAAACAGTGTGATATGGGTACAAGTACATATCAAATTCTCTCATTGTTTCTATCTTAAAATCGTAACTGCTGCAATCCTGCAAATATTGAATTATTAAGAAGCATCCTTTCCTAGATATTTTACATTTATTGTTTCTCCTCGTTTTCCCTGTTGTGTTGTTGTTATGTGCCGTCAAGTTGGCCCCGACTCATAGAGACCCCTCCTTGGGTTGCCGAGGCAGTATCACTACGGAAGTAGATTGCCCAACCTTCCTTCCGAGGAGCTATCAAGTGAATAATCAAAATCACAGATTGCAATATTAATGCAAATTCTCTCACAATAATACTAATCTCATTGTGGTATAATAGCATAAGGGGCCCTTGAAGAACTGTTGACTCATTCACCATCGATAAAACATTTTAACAATGTGCAAAGGTTAAGCACATGTTTTGAAAGGTTTTATGTATTTAGCCTGGAACTCAAAAGCTCATTCTAGACTCCCCCTTTTTTCCCATCAACAATAGATTTTTTACAGTGTATTTTAGATTTCTTCAAAACTCTTCAACCTATAAAATCTCGCTATCACTAAGCTTCAATATTCTGCATGGTACTCAGTCACATATGAGTTACTTAACATTTATCATTATAATAAAGATGAACTAAAACAATAAAGTTATTAGTTTTCCCATTTATCAGACTTACTTTCATAGAACCACAGTCACAGACTTCATTGCCCTCCACTTTGCGGTTGCCACAGATGGGAGCTTTTCTTTGCATTTGTGGCTTATTCTGGAGACATCTGGCACCCACATTTAGAATGAAATTTTTGAAGTCATTCAAACTGCAGTTGCTAAAAGTCTTCACACCACTGGATTGCCTAAAGATGAATCAGTATAATGTTGTTGGCAGTACACTCCTGAAAAATATGTCTATAGTTTCAATTACCTAGATAAATTAATTCAAAATGTTAAATTTAATGTTGTTATTGGGTGCCATCTAGTTGATGTCACACAGTGATCCCATGTGACAGAGAGAATTGCCCCATAGGGTTGCTGGGTTGTAATCTTCACAAAAGTAGATCTCCAGGTCTTCCTCCCACTGAGTCACTGAGTGGGTTTGAATCACCAACATTTTGGTTAGTATCAAAGTGCTTAATGACTGCACAACCAGGGCTCATTGTTAACTTTAATAGGCAATGATAAATGTTTATAACAAGTGCTTAAGAGTACAAAATCATTATTGAGGGGATCATGTGATTTAATTCACTGGAGTACATATCCTTATTAAAATAAAATTAAGAACAGATTCATTTCATTTTATGTGTGCACTGCACATTAAATCTACCTAGGAGAAACATTTGAGCTTTCAGGTAGCATTATATGCAAATTCTTCCATGTAGAAAAAAAATGGTTATATATATGTACAATGTTTCTACCTACTTGCCTTCAAGTTCAGGTACTTTTTACTTTACCCTGCTATGCCCCCAAATCCACTTTAACACTACATAATTCAATAAAATATTTACTATTAAATATTAGTAGACACATTACAACAAGCTATATATTTTTAGAATCTTATCAAAATACAAAAGTTAAAATTTTATCTAAAAAATTACATAATGTTTTGGCTCTGAGAGTTATTTATCATGGCTTTATTCTAGCTCTTCATATGTGCTGTATGCTAATTTATTTGTGGCTGTGTTTTTAAATTAACATTTTAATTTAAACAATGTTTCTCTCGTTCAAAGGTAACTGTATGAGAAAGGATAAAGTAGGTCATCTCAACTATATACAGGCCCTAATTACTAACCTTTTTGTTGCCCATATCTTCCAAAAGTTTCTTTGTAATTAATTATTTGGAATTTTTTTTGGTGGAGGGGCTGATTTTGCACTCTGAATCTAATATTGTAGTAGCTATTTTCCCAAATTATTTTATAAAAGCTTGTTGCAACCACAATATGACTAGCCTAAATTCTGGGTTCAAAGAAAAGAGAAATAAAGAGATACAATAGAATGAAAATAGTACTTTTTTTTTTACCATTTTCTGATTGGAGTTAGCACTTGACAACACTTTGAAAGAAGAAACATTTATCTTCTATACTATCTCATTTTCTTTTCAAGGTCTTTCTTTTCCTATACTTTCTCTCACTCTTCCCCTGTCCCAAAATTTCATGTTCCCCTGGGTGGCTCAAGTGGTTTGCAATCAGCTGCTAGCCTAAAGGTTGGTGGTTCTAACCCACCTAGCATACACATGGAAGGAAGGCCTAGTGAATTGCGCTGTAAAGATTCCAAAACCAAAACCAATCCGATAGCCATCTAGTTGATTCCAAATCATAGCAACCCCCATCAGGTTTCCAAGGTTATAAATCTTCATGGAAGTATGTTGCCTCATCTTCCTCCCATGGAGCAGCTGGTGGGTTTGAAGAGTCAGCTTTCTGTTTAGCAGCCAAAGTAAATCTAAGCATGGTTGAGTAATTTGTCTAAAATTACACACTTATTATATATTTGTTAAAAGTCTCCTAGTAGGACTTTTTATTCTTATGATGGTAATTTTTCCACAACACCACACTACCGTGCAAGCAAACCAAAAGTTCTGTCTAAAACAAAGGTCACTGTTTAGGCCTGCTGACATATTTTTAAAGATCTGTACTAAATGAACTCATAAAACACACAGTTTAAGAAGAATTGCTTTGTTAATGTATCTTGGAGATAGGATTTGTTATCCTTGATTGTCTTTAAAAGTACACCTTTCTCCACACTCTTACATGTAAAATAAAACTGTTTATATTTTGTAATGAACTAAGTCTTGTTGTTGTTATGTGCCATCGAGTCGGACCCAACTCATAGTGACCCCTCCTTGGGTTTCTGAGGTGGTATCACTATGGAAGTAGATTGCCCAACCTTCCTTCCGAGGAGTGACTGGTGGGTTTGAGGTCTACTTACAACTAATTTTTGCTTTAAGTAAATTCTACATTATTGTACTTCAAATATTAATAAAATATGTGTTAATAATCAATAAATAAATCCTATTCAAAAACTCTGGTAGGGTAGTGCCTAGGCACTTGACTACTAACCAGGAGGCTGGCAGTTCAAACCCACCAGCCACTCCTTGGAAGGAAGATGGGGCAATCTACTTCCATAGTGATACTGCCTCAAAAACTCAAGGAGGGATCACTATGAGTTGGGTCCGACTCGATGGAAATAACAACAACAATAATAATTCAAAACTAAAACAAACAAAAAACTTACATAGCTTCTGGATTCATTACACAGATTCTGGCTCCTGAACAGTGACATTCCTTTGGGTCATCATATGTTAGTCCCAGACTAAATCCCAGCAACTGGGTAACAATAACTGAAAAGGCCTCCAAAGTTATATCCTTGGGATACTATATTAACAAAGAAAATTCAAAGAAAGTCAATTCAAAAGATGGTAAAAATAATAATCCAATTCAAAGCATTTTTATTGTTTTATCAAATATTTAAAATAAGAAGATACGATTTCTTAGACAGTAGAGGTTATCCTTATTAATCTTAGCTAAATATAAGCATATTGAATCTATGCCAAACTTTGTCATGTTTTAACAACTGAATACCTAAAATTATTATTAGGTAAATATCATAACTTAATTTGAAAAAAGGACTGTTTTGATTAATAGTTACATTAGATTTTTAGCTATTAGGACCACAATCTTCCATTTACCCAATTTTTGACAACAGCGCTGATACTCTTTTAGGATAATTCAGATGATACTCCTCCTCCTAGTTCACAAAGTAGTGAAACCAAGTTACCCAATTCGTTTTATCTCTTTCCTGCTAGGACATTCATCGATACAGTAAGTGGTATCAAGAGAGCATTCTTAGATTAGGGGGCTCACATACGGGGGGGAAAAAATGCAGGTGCTTTGTTAGTAAAATCAACCACAGAAGATCAAAAGAGCAGCAATTTGCACAGGGATAGTGGTAAGAAAGTGAGAAGGGACAGGAGGGAAGGACAAAGAGAAGTGGGCACAGGGAAGAAGTGGGATGAGTTCTGATGCATTCTGGGAAATGCAATGCATGTTAAATAACAGAATATGTGTAGATTGTTGAATGGAAAACCAATTTGTTTTGTAAATTTCACCCAAATCATACAAACACACACAAAAAGTGCAGGTGGAAGCCAAGATGTCAAGAAAATAAAAGCACTTAATTACTATGGTGTGTTGTTGTTGTCGTTGTTGTTGTCTGCCATCGAGTCAGACCTGATCATAGCAACCCCTCCTTGGGTTTCTGAGGCAGTATCACTACAGAAGTAGTTTGCCCCTTCTTCCTTCCAAGGACTGGCTGGTGGGTTTGAACTGCCAGGCTTCTAGTTAGCAGTCAAGTGCCGTAGGCACTACACTACCAGAGCCCCTACTATGGCGTGATTAGTGATTATAAAGACTTGGGGTTTGGTTATAACCAGAAAGTCTCTGCAGCAGTACTGAAGTAACTCATCATCTCTTGTAGTCACTGGGTCGACATGGCTAAGGACCAAACCCAAGGTCTAATAATAAAGATTGCAAGGGTAGAGCCCCAATCTCATGCTCAATCCCACTACCTATGGTGGATATGGTAGGGAAGGGATTGGAATCTGAAATTGGGATGGGGACATTTGGAGAGACATGGACAAATATCTCTTCTTTTGCCAGCAGATGAAGCCCTCTCCAAGCCATCTCCTGCTTGGAAAAAAAAAAAGAAAGAAAAGTTTAATGATACATGGGACATTTGTCTCACCACTTCTCGTTGGCTCCAAGTCCATATAAAGAATTAAATCCCAACGTAGTCTAGAAAAAGAATGTTCTGCTCTAGGAGGGATAGTTCATATTTTGGAAAAGTTTGACACAGGGATATGAGATAAAAGGATAAAATGCAACAAATTTATTGAAATGGGTAACTACCTTGAGTCTTTGTATTTAATGTTGGGTCAGAGCAGGATTGATGTTAGTATTCTATAAGGATGAGTAAAGTTAGACTTAACAGAGGCTTACTGTTAGTGAGGTCAAAATATTGAAACTTTCCAGGCATACTGTACAATAAACATTGTTGAGGTTCAGAGGTATGGGAATACTGAATGAATTTATTACATGCAATCTGTTCAGTAACCACCCCTAATGATATTTCCAGACAGTGCCAAGAGGACAATTCCATTACCAAGGCATTAAATAAACTTTTTTTTTAACAATTTACTTTTATTGTGGTGAAAACATACACACAAAGACATGCACCAACATTAGAACTTACACATTTAAAGCTCAGGGACATTGATGACATTTTTCATCTTGTGTCACCATTATTCCTAACCTTTTCCAAAATATTCCACCCCATGAGCATAAACTCAATGCCTCACAAACAAAAGCTTCTCCTTTCCCCTCCTACCTACTCCTGTTGTTGTTGTTGTTATGTGCCGCCGAGTCTGACCCAACTCATAGTGACCCCTCCTTGGGTTTCTGAGGCAGTATCACTACAGAAGTAGATTGCCCCATCTTCCTTCCGAGGAGTGGCTGGTGGGTTTGAACCACCAGCCTCCTGGTTAGCAGTCAAGTGCCTTTAGGCACTATGCCCTGGTAATTACTAATACTCTTTGGTTTCTATAAATATATGTATATTTTAACCTATCTATCGATTTTCCTTTCCCTCCCCTCCCATCCCTGGTAACCAAAAAAGAAAGTTTTCTTCCATGTATAAACCTTTCCTTGACTTTTTACAATAGTTGACTAATACAATATTTGTCCTTCTGTAACTGAATTATTTCACTCAGCATAATGTCCTCCAAGTTCATCCATGATATGCAGTATTTCACGGAGTCTACATCATTCTTTGGTGTTGTGTAGTATTGCACTGTGTGCAATATACAACAGTTTGATTATCCATTTCTCCGCTGATGGGCACTTAGGTTGTTTCCATCTCTTTGCTATCGGGAATAGTAGTGCCATGAGCATGGATATGCATATATCTATTCATGTCCTAGTTCTCACTTCTTTAGGGTATATACCTAGTAATGAATGGGGTTGCTGGATCAATACCAATTTACGCAGTGATTGTATCACTTTACACTCCCAGCAGCAATGTTTGAGAGTCCAAATCTCTCCACATCCTTGCCAGCATTTGTTATTTTCTGTCTTGGTGAACTATGCTATTAATGCTGGGGTGAGATGGTATTTCATTATTATTTTGATTTGCATCTCTCTAATGGCAGATGTTTCGTTCTGCTGTGCATGGGATCGCTATGAGTCGGACAAATATCTCTTCTTTGCATCTCTCTAATGGCAGTGTTTCGTTCTGCTGTGCATGGGGTCACTATGAGTCGGAAATGACTCGACGGCACTTAACAACAACAACAACAATGGCTAATGACCTCGAACACTGCTTCATGTGTTTGTTGGCTGCTTCAATATTTTCTTAGGTAAAATATTTGTTCATGTCTTCTGCCCATTTGTCTTTTTGATGTTGAGGTGTTGGAGTTTTCTATATATTTTAGAGATAAGTCTCTTGTCAGATACGTTGTTGCCAAATATTTTTTCCCAATCTGTGTATTCTCTTTTCACTCTTTTGAAGAATTTAATTTTTAGAAGGTCCCAGTCATCTAGTTTATCTTCTGCTATTTGTGCCTTTTGGGTTATGCTTGACAGTCTATATTTATGCCATAAATTAGGGCCCCTAAGTTTGCCCCTATTTTTTCTTTGATGAACTTTATAGTTTTATGTTCCACATTTAAGTTTTTGATCCATCTGGAATTAGTTTTTGTGTATAGTGCAAGGGACAGATTTTGTTTCATTTTTCTGCAAATGGATATCAAGCTTTTCCAGCACCATCTGTTAAAGAAACCATCTCTTCTCTCGATTAATGGTTTGGGCCCTTTGTCAAAGATCAGTTGTCCATATGTGGATGGATCTCTTCCTGGATTCTGACTTCTGTTCCAGTGGTCTATGTGTCTGTCATTGTACCAACAGCAGACTGTTTTGAACACCATGGCTGTATAGTAGGTTTTAAGATATGGGAGTGAGAGACCGTCTTCTTTGTTCTTCTTCTTCAGTACGCTTTGCTTATCCAAAGTCTCTTTCCTTTCTATATAAATTAGTGATTGATTCTTCCATGTCCTTAAAGACTGTTGATGGAATCTAGATCAGGATTGCATTGAATTACAGATTGCTATAGGTAGTGTTGATATTTCCACAATGTACAATCTTCCTATCCATGAGCATGGTATGTTCTTCAATTCATATAGCTCTCTTATAGTTTCTTGAAGTAGTGTTTTGTAGTTTTTCTTGTATGGTATTTTATGTTCCTGGTAAGATTTATTCCCAAGTATTTTATCTTTTTGGTAGCTACCGTAAATGGTATTGATTTTATTTCCTTTTCAGAGATCTCTCTGTTGGTGTAGAGGAATCCAACTGATTTTTGTGTTCATCTTGTATCCTGCCAATATGCTAAATATTTCAATAAATTCCAGTAGTTTTCTTGCTGAGTCTCTTGAGTTTTCTATGTATAGGATTGTATCATCAGCAAATAGTGATAGTTTTACTTCTTCCTTACCAATATGGAGGCCTTTTATTTCCCTTTCATGTCTTTATTGCCTTGGCTAGTACTTCTGATACAATGTTGAATAGCTGTGCTGATAGAAGGCATCCTTTTCTGGTTCTTGTTTGCAGGGGAAATGGTTTCAGTCTCTCTCCACTAAGAACAAAATTAGCTGTTAGTTTTTCATATATGTCCTTTATTATGTTGAGGAATTTCCCTTCTATTCTTTTTTTCTGAGAGTTTTGATCAGGAATGGGTGTTGGATTTTATCAAATGCCTTTTCTGCATCAATTGATATGATCATGTGATTCTTCTCCTTTATTTATTTATGTGATGGATTACATTGATTGTTTTTCTAAAGTTGAACAATTCTTGCATACTTTGTGTGATTCCCACTTGTTCAAGTTGTATTATTTTTTGATATGTTGTTGGAGTCTATTGGCTAGGATGTTGTTTAAGATTTTTGTGTCTATATTCATGAGGGATATTGGTCTGTAGTTTTCCTATCTAGTGGTGCCTTTGCCTAGTTTTGGTATCAGGGTTATGCTTGCTTCCTAAAATGAATTTGGGATGATGACATCCTTTATCTGTGTTATGAGATAGTGTGAGTAGGATTGGTGTCAGCACTTCTCTGAATGTTTCGTAGAATTCTCCACTGACACCATCTGGGCCAGGGCTTCTTTTTTATTAGTAATTTTTTTATGACCTGTTCAATTTCTTCTTGGTTAGGGTCTGTTCAAGTTTTCTGCCTCAGTCTGTGTTAGTTTAGGTAAGTAGAAATCTGTCCATTTCTTCTAGGTTTTCAAGTTTGTTGGAGTGAAGTTCTTCATAGTATCCTGATATTATC